TTTGCATGTACGTTGTTGTTTTTCTACTATTGAGAAAACTGTTGATCCGAAATTGTCATTTATAAACAATTAAACATATGCATGTGTATAGTCTCTTGTAAATTGGCAATAGTCCTTCAATACAATAAACTACACAGATTATAACATTGATCTTATTAGAGGGTGCCTAGATCAAGGGAAGAAGATGAGGGAATTAATTACAACTATCAACACCATAATGGGCACTTGATTTATTTGTTGTACATGAAAACTACAATCATAATGAGATCTTTGTTAAAATCATTCCATACAGAATGTTTGTAGTCATCATCAGTGACAACGTGCATGTTAAGTTCAGCTTACTTGCTTAGAGGTTTCTGAAGAGGTGAGGTGAGGTGAAATGGGGTTTAACGTTGCACTTAAGAATGTTTCACTCATATGACGACGCATGTGTATGTATGGCTGCTTGTACTAACACAGACTTAAGCTGGTTTTAAAGTGCTAGCTCACTGAGATGCCACAGTCAAGCATGAATACTCCACACATTATACTGACTCTGAGGCGACCAGTCCTAGTTGTACCTATTAATGCCTAGCGCCAGGCAGGGACCAACAAGTACCATATATTGACATCTTTTTGCATGACCTGCGACCTTCCGCTCTCCGAGCGGACACTCTAACCACTACACCACGGACGTGGCTTTTCTGAAGAGAAGACCAGCGCTTGGGGTGAAAAGTGGTTTCAACAGCTTGGCTGCACTCATAAGCGCATGCGCAGTGAAATAGGTTCGCGCAGCTTGGAAGCGGGATGTCCGGATTTAATATAAGGTCATGAGCAGGAGTATTCTAATCAAAACAAATAGTAAATAATCTACTCATTACATAAAAGAACCTTGTTATGATCTAGATCAACTCTAGATCTGTGTCAACCAGTGAGGCGTTCGACATTTCAAGACGGAAAACCTTCGCTGGCGGTGAATACTCGGTGAAGGCTTTGGTGTGAGCTATTTTTCTAATGTTTTGTTGATATTTCACAAATGCAAGCTTTTTATATGTTATGACAGCAGATTACCGATTTAACTGTTTATATAATTTCAGTTGTCTATTTCACCACACGTTCTTCTTACCGAGTCACTTTCTCAGTTCGATACTTAAAAGCAATGTCATTATTTAGCGTTGACAGAATTTCTAACTGTGATATAGATATGTCATTGTCACAGACTAAACTCAAGGTCTGTTTTATTGGCACCTATGTGTCTGCCTGCCCGTCTGCTAATGACAATATTCCATACACAACTTCGATCACTGACCACATACAATTTGAACTTAACACCTATCAAGCTATACACCATAAACAAAATGCATTGATTTATGGCCCGAGTTCGGTCTCTGTCACATTATGTAATTACACAGACAGGCAGGTGTGATACTTGTACACATGACATGTTATGATGTCTGTTGATTGCAAAATGTTATACCCAAAACATTTAGCATGTATTTAAAAAAACCCAACATCTCTATATACACACACACAATGAGCCGTGAGGGCATCGGCAAATAAACCAGCCAATGAAAGTCCTCGTTACACTTGAGTGCACACACACCCCGCTCTGACTGGGTTCGGTATCCAAGATGCTTCGTTTCGATGGAAAAACCCAAATACAAAATATTGCACTTTTGATTTGCGATTGTACGCTTGTAATTTTTTTTAATGTTTTTTCATAATCAGCAATGTATATTATATGCCATGAATAAGTGATAATTGTGTTTTAATTATGTTTGATTTATTGGTTGCATGTGACCTTTAACCTACAGTAATAAACACTGATGAAACAAAAATTGAAGAAAGTCACTTGAAAGACTTGATTTAAGATCCAAGATTTAATACAAAATATCATCAGGTCAACAAATCTTTTGAAATAAATACAAATGTATATTTCGAGTCATGTATGATGCCAAACAAAATATCACAGGAAAACTTGCATAGCAAAAGTACTTTGTGCTTTGAAAGACATAGACATTGTTAAATATAGAATAGCACTAACTAAATTACACGAAGTTCACAAAGGCATGGCATCAGCACAATCATTAGTCAAACAAGAATGGAAGAGTGAGTGGAACAAACATTAACACATCACAGATATCATATGATTTATATCACAACAATTCATAATAATGCATATGATATTAATAATACAATAAGAAAATAATATATCAAAACAAAGACAATGTACAGACTGCATATGTACAAACGCCAATTGAAATGGTTTGGCTCTCAATTAGAAAATATCTGAGAATGAATATTAATCACACATCTCCTTAAACTTCAATACATCCGGTCCAGCTTTCATCCTTGCCCTGTGATTTTGGGTGCATCTTGAATACCCAACTTGTTTCCATATGTGGACTAAACATGACATCATGAAGATTGTACTTGCATTGTAGAACTTATTTTGTGCATAGAAACGTGATGTAAATCTTGAACTTTGTCTGTGTCTCCAAATTAATGCAACTGCTGGCCTCAAGCTGAAAACATTACTACCCCCTATATAGAGAGAAAATAGCTTCTGTGAGGTTTAAGTCTATCCTTATTCCAATGTTACAATAATCCAATCAAACAGCAGGTAGTACTCTTTATTAGTACTGCAAAACTAGTAAATAGTGTTTTCATAAAAACAACACATACTTAAGATTTTTATTCTGTTGACAGGCATTAAAGAAGTTCAAAGGAAATAAAATAATAATAACTGTCCTAAATTCAAGGCATTAAAGTATTTTGTCTCCAATTTTGAGGCATAAATAGCATTACTGAAAGGATGGAGAAGTAAGAATATACTCCTAAACAACATGTTCTTCGTATTTCAGAAATTTCCCACCAAACATTTCCCCGTTTCTATATCAATTCCAAATGCCATTCAAAGACGTTATGACTGAAAGGTACCAGTATTCACAATCATGTTGATATATGTCACAAGAGGCAACTAGGTCTGCCTGATTCAGCTAGGGGATCGATGCCTGGAAAAGCTGCCAGGATGGATACTGTAAACAAGGCAATATGAGACACATCAAATTCAGATGATTTTGTGTATTTGATAGATACACACATTGTTAAATGAAGAAGAGCATTAACTGTATTATAATTAACTTCACATAATATTATGGCAGAAAAAAGAAGATAATCTATTCCTAACAGAAACAATACTTCTTTGGCAGTAATGATACTGAGGATGAGAATATGAGAATATCATGTTTATGAATGAAAAGTCCAAGTAAGATACGTCAGTTTATAAGGATGTTACATGTTACAATATACTTGACTGAGAGTATATATTTTAAATATCAAAGCATATTTATCCTATGTACCCCCACCCCGGCTGAAATCTCATATTACACAAAGTAATATCTGTGAGTCTATGCATTCTTTTATTTTCCCCCTTCACGACATACTGCTGTAACCATGGTGACAGCGTTGCAGAAAGGGGTTGTACAAAAATTCAGGAAGTTCTCTGGGATCTATGTAGGATTCTAAGTAAAGTGCCATTGATAAGCAAATTGAGAAATCAATGTTAAGTTATACCTTAATGTTCAAACTTGGAACTTTTAATTAACTGCACATTTTCTTCAATTCAGAGGTATTTTTACAATCTACCTTCACACTTGTGTTTCTGTCTTATTGGTCTATTATCATTCTACAAGCCACAACATTTGTAACATGGATTTGAAAACTGTACTGAAATATGGCAGTTGAAGGTTCAAATGCCTTTAATTGGGCTCTGAGCAGATCCTGATAAAATCCCTGATACTTCATATTTTACACAAAATGACTCTATATGATATGACCAGAAATTATTGAGAATTTTAGGAATATGTTTAATTGAATTTCTAGTATAAACAACCTTGACCAGCTATGACGTGGTTGGTTTCATTCAAGAGAGACAACTCCGTTAATCCTTTTTTCATTAGTTTGTGAAGAGTTATCCCCCTTTGTTTACTTGCTAGCAGACGACATTTTCAGTGATCCTCAGTATGGATGATTTAGAAAAGAGGAAGTTGATTTTAGAGTATTATAACAAGGTCATCAGATCAGCTAAAGTGATTTCAAGTAGAACAGGCATCCCTTTGTCCACTGTTTATCGTGTTTTGAAAAATATTGCAAATGGATATTAGGGCATTGAGCACCAGACAGGGCTGGGAAGGCCCAGAAAATTGACTGTTAGTGACAGGAGGCGGCTTGTTATTCTTGTTTCTAAAAACAACCGAAGGAGTTTAGAAAACTTACGGCTGGATATGATTGATAGAGGAACTGTGGCTGTCTGTAAGGAGACAATTAGAACTGAGCTGCATGCAATGGGTTGGCAGAAAAGTTGAGGAATTCCATCACCGATCATGAAACCTGAACAAAAGGAGCGAAGGTTGAACTGGTGCTTACAGCATAGAAATTTTAACTGGGACAATGTGATTTTCTCAGATGAAAGTTCTGTGTGGTTGTTTCCTAATACACTGAAATTCTGGACCAAACAAACTGAAAAACCTTTGTATCAGCGCCCAAAGTACAGCCGAAATTTAATGTGTGGGGTGGCATATCTGTGTTAGGGGCAATGCCCCACTGTGTATTTGAAGGGAATATGAACAGTGAGCGGTACACAGATATTCTCGAGAGACATTTACTTCCATCTGCTCACGTGTTCTATGGAAATTTTTGGATTTTCCAGCAGGACAACGACCCAAAACGTCGTTCAAAGCATTCACAGGCCTGGTTTCGGACCCAAAATATGACATTATTAGATTGGCCAAGCTATAGCCCTGACCTAAATCCAATAGAAAATGTTTGGGGACTTATGAAGGAAAGTGTCAATAAGAAAAATCTGACAATATTGCTGAAATGAAAGAAGAGGTGTTCCAATATTGGGACAGCATGGACCACGACTTTCTAACTTCTTTGATCAGTAGTATGCATTGCTGCCCCTGGTGACTTGACAAAATACTAACTGTTCACCTGTCTTTGAATCTGAAGTTATGTTCTGCTAATATTCACATTTAATATGTGAGTAATGAGTGAAAAAAATATAAAAAATTACAATCTTTAAATTCTCAATAATTTCTGGTTGTACTGTACACGACATGCCATACTCTCTCTATAACATGTTTATTGTCCATGTAAAAATCTGTAAGTTTCCACTTGGATTATAGATTGTCAAAGTCTTTACAGCAGTGTATCATTATATCTATACCAGACATCAATATTAATGATAAATAATAACTACAAAAGTGCATAAAAGTGATATAAGTCAAAAGAATAATACAAATAAATATATCAACAGACTTTACCACATCCAATGTAAATGTGTTCATGATTGTATAATATTGCTTTATGAGATTCCTGGGGACAAAACACCAAAGTTGCCTGATACGCACTGGAAATTTGGATTCACATCATCACTGGGCTATTACAAATCTTGGCTAGATCAAGAGGGCAATGCTTAAACATACTGTAAAACCGAGCCTCTTCTTAAGCATGGCAATTCTCTTTACATAATTCCAACATTTTCAGACCGCAGTTTCCATATGTTTCTTCACTATTGCAGGTTGTGCTCCAGCAGTATACACACGAACAAAACCATCCCAACATGCAACAAACACAGTCCCGTCAGGTTCTACATGGACGTCCATGGGCTGCTTCACACCATCAGAGATGGACACAATCTTCTCCTGAACAACAGGAAGTCCGCCATCACACTTTATTACAAACACACTGTTGGCTTCAAAATGTGTAACATATATATCACCAGTACGACAACATAATCCATTTTGGGAAAGAAAGTTTTCTTCTTCGTTTTCAGGTGCATACCGGAACAATTCGTGGCCATATTGAGTCAAACAGACCAATGCATGGGCTGTAGAATCAACAAGATGGATCAAACCAGAGGGTGACATGCTTATGTTGGTGAAGTCATGCTGAATCAGTTCCCTGCAGATGCGTAAGGAAGACAGGCTTTTTCCTTCATGATTGATAATGTCTATTGGGCCTAGAATGTCACCATTGAGAGTTTCATTTTGATGAATCTGACATGTGACAGCTATAAAGGTTCCTGATCCGGAATCATGTATGCTCTTATAGCATCGTTCAGTGCGCAAGACCGAGACAACTTCCAGCTCTGACTGAATTGAGATAATGTAAATAGATTTCAGACATGGAACCGTCACTGCAACAAAGCTGTCTAACACATTGGTGACAGATTTGGGCTTACCTGCAAGATGAAGAGACTGCATTTTGACATCATGTTCATTCCAGTTGGAAAAGGTTTTAAGGCTTTGATTTCCAAAGTCCAAAACCGCAACGACTCCTCCAACAACACATATTGCACTCAACTGTACTTTGGTATTGTCATCTTGCATTTCCCCTGAAAGATCTTTGAGAAGATGAAACCGTCTTTGATATGGCATACAAGCTAGATGAGAAATGTTGACAGTCTCCGGGGTTAGAGGGTATAAAGTAGGCACTGAAGAATTCTTTGTCATACCAGTCTCAAAACGTCTACGCTCATCACTAGTTACTGAGGATGTGGTGATGTTTCTTGACCTATTCGAATTTGTAGCTTGAGACGGCAGATCCATTGATGTAGGAGTGACAGCAGTTTCCATATGTTTCTTCAATATTGAAGGTTGTGCTCCAGAAGAATACACACGAACAAAACCATCCCAACATGCAACAAACACAGTCCCATCAGGTTCTACATGGACGTCCATGGGCTGCTTCACACCATCAGAGATGGACACAATCTTCTTCTGAAGAATAGGAAGTCCACCATCACACTTTATTACAAACACACTGTTGGCTTCAAAATGTGTAACATATATATCACCAGTACGACAACATAATCCATTTTGGGAAAGAAAGTTTTCTTCTTCGTTTTCAGGTGCATACCGGAACAATTCGTGGCCATATTGAGTCAAACAGACCAATGAATGGGCTGTAGAATCAATAAGATGGATCAAACCAGAGGGAGACACGCTTATGTTGGTGAAGTCATGCCGAATCAGTTCCCTGCAGATGCGTAAGGAAGACAGCCTCTTTCCTTCATGATTGATAATGTCTATTGGGCCTAGAATGTCATTTTCATTTTGACGAATCTGACATGTGACAGCTATAAAGGTTCCTGATCCGGAATCATGTATGCTCTTATAGCATCGTTCAGTGCGCAAGACCGAGACAACTTCCAGCTCTGACTGAATTGAGATAATGTAAATAGATTTCAGACATGGAACCGTCACTGCAACAAAGCTGTCTAACACATTGGTGACAGATTTGGGCTTACCTGCAAGATGAAGAGACTGCATTTTGACATCATGTTCATTCAAGTTGGAAAAGGTTTTAAGGCTTTGATTTCCAAAGTCCAAAACCGCAATGACTCCTCCAACAACACATATTGCACTCAACTGTACTTTGGTATTGTCATCTTGCATTTCCCCTGAAAGATCTTTGAGAAGGTGAAACCGTCGTTGATATGGCATACAAGCTAGATGAGAAATGTTGACAGTTTCCGGGGTTAGAGGGTTTAAAGTAGGCACTGAAGAATTCTTTGTCATACCAGTCTCAAAACGTCTACGCTCATCACTAGTTATTGAGGGTATGCTGCTGAGGTTTCCAGACCTATTTGAGTTTGTAGCTTGACACGACAGATCCATGGATGCGGGAGCATCAGGAGACTGCTTGGAACTAACATTGCTCAAGATGTTGACTATTGTTAACTGCTGGCTCTCTGACTCCTTGACCTTCAAAGCATTCATCAAATTTTCAATGTAGAAGTTTGTCTTGAAATCAGAGGCCCATTCTTCAAGAGGCTTAGATGAACAAGGAGCTTCGATCAGTTCTCTGCAGAGTGGGCACGGAAAACCCTTTTTACGTTTCACTCCAAAGTTTTCATCTTCAGCGACAATGTATGATGATAAACATTTGAGGCAGAATGTGTGAAGACATGGCAGGGACTTTGGAATGGTATACACATCATAACAGATGCTGCAAGTGAGGAAGTCATCTTGGAAACTGGATGCTGTAGCCATTGTAGAGTCTGAAAAATGGTTCATAGTTATTATTTTGTAAAAATGTAAACGAGTTGGATTCAACAAGACAAACAAGTGGTTCAGTTTTTTCAAAATGATGACAGGCTATTGCTTTTAAACCAAGGATAATTTTCAACATGATCCAAAAGCTTAAATCCACAAAGTCCTGACAGATGTGTGTGAATGACACCCTAAATGATGCAGTGAATAAGAAAACCAGAGAATCTGGGTCAAGACGTTGGTCTTTTTAAAATATAAATTGATGGCATGTCGATTCATGTACAAAGGTGCAGCCACATTATAGAATTTAGGCACATGTAAAGGATGAGGTATGCTAACAACCTTTTTGGTCCTACAGATATCTAGACATTTCAAGCTACGTTTGAGCACTTTCTGAAAGGCACTGTGTAATTCATAGCTACAGAAAACTGAAAACAATATCCATATCAAATGACCGACGACTGGCCTTTGCTACATAACTTTGGCTTTGGTTTATGACATGATAAAGTAGAAATGTAAGGCTGAAGGGCAGGACAATGGTGAATAAAGGTGATACTCAACCTCAAGGGAATGCAACTACCAGGAACGACCAAAGATGAATGTTTACCACATGTACCACATTTTACCTTTGCATCTTAACTAAGGCCTAAAAATAAAGTTGTTTTTTATCTAGTTTTTTTAAGAGGTATGAATGAAATAAGCTTTCAGATACCATTGTTTTTGTCCGGCCCCAATGGACATTGGTCATTCCGATAGAGAAAGTCGACATGATGGCCGCAAGCTTGATTAAATAAACAATTATACATTGATATATGTGTTATTAGTTCATACTTCACTTCTAAAAAGAAATGTAAAAAAAAAGAATTCCTACCCACCTACCCTAAATTTTAAAGAGGTGTAATCGGAACCACAACATTTTTTTTATTTGGCCTTATGTCAGTTTGTGTTAAAAGTTCGGAAAAGATCAATTTTTTCCAGGAAATCGACTTTTTAACAAATAGTAGCCTCCCCATTATTTTTAGTTAGATTTGGCATTGTTTTAAGATAAATATGTAAGTGTTGAAAACAAGAACACTGAACTCCACAGCTACCCATGGATGCACTTGCCTACTCTACCTCTAACTCCAGCTCCATATCCCAAAGACCCATACCCCAAACTCTATGCCTGCCCAAAATCCATCCTTTCTCCATGACACAACATGCTGGTCCAACATCAGCTGATCAGTTTCTGTTGTTTAATGATGCACTCAGCAGTATTTGAGATATATGACAGTACTCCCAACCCTGACCCAAACCCAAATCCTGTTTGCCTGACAATTTCACTGATTCACATGATAGACTGCCTAATTGTACCTATAGGAAAGCATCAGAAAACATTTTGATAATTATACTTGATACCCATAATGTACTGTGTTTTAACCATACAGAATTTTAATCTATTTCTCTTAATTGTACACTTGAAAATTCTGTTTAACAAATCAAAGCTATTTTCAGGGCAGTATGTACTACTTTAAGTGTGTGGATCACACAATTTTTAAATTCTTGAGTAATGTTATAATTTGACTGCATGACTGGCTAAACGCGGCGTAACTACTAAAAGCATACTTACTCACTCATATTCTAACTGTTACAAGCTAATTAACCATGTGAGTAGCCTTAACAAAGCACACATAAAATCATTTAATAAATACACACAGAGACACTCATATTTTGATGGGTAATGTATATGGAAAATGTAAGATTGATCTTCAAAGAGCCATGTCAGGTATTGTAACACGAACAGACTGTACAAAACATCTAAAGACACACAGAACATAGAAAGAACCCATAGGGTGTTTGAAGACTGGCCATGTGCAAGCTCACCTGTTTTCCAACAGAATCTTCAAGGGTAGCTCTAAGGGAAACCACTCCTGGAACCTGCAGACCAACATGAAGAATCATATGTGAAAACTTAAACAACTTAAATTCAGGATTTAATCATTTTAAATTACAAAAGGTTGATAAATTAAGTTTGTGTATTGTATTTCATCACAGAATATGCATATGTCACAGAATGCCAAAACCGGTGGTAGGACAATAGGCCCACAAGGACATAACACCCTCAGACAAAACACCCCTAGGCTAAATGCCCCCATGACAAAAAGCCCTCAATGGGTAGGACAAAAGGTCCTCAATGAAGAGATGTAATAGAATACCAACAAATCTTTTTTTGATTCCCAAATGAATACAATATAATATAACATTAAATAGCATATGTAATAGCACATACTTCACAAATGTAAATCACCAAGCACATACCAGTCTAATATTGTGTCCTATACCAGTCAAAAGCGAATGCTGTGAACACCGTCACCAATAGCCAGCCGCTATTTAAATAATAATAGACCATCTTAATAAACACCATGTTCATTGACATACCACAATGAGTACCTGCCCAACGAAATCAAACATAAGAGGAAGTGACCAATTTGTTTGGTTTATTTGCAGATGCTCTCACGGCTCATTGTGTGTGTATATATAGAGATGTTGGGTTTTGTAAATACATGCTCATTTTTTGTGTATAACATTTTGCAATCAACAGACATCATTAACATGTCATGTGTACAAGTATCACACCTGCCTGTCTGTGTAATTACATAATGTGACAGAGACCGAACTCGGGCCATAAACCAATGCGTTTTGTTTATGGTGTATAGCCTGATAGGTGTTAAGTTCAAATTGCATGTGGTCAGTGATCGAGGTTGTGTATTGAATATTATCATTAGCAGACAGGCAGGCAGACACATAGGTGTCAATAAAACAGACATTGAGGTTTGTCTGTGACAACGACATATCTATATCACAGTTACAAATTCTGTCAACGCTAAATAATGACATTGCTTTTAAGTATCCAACTGAGAAAGTGACTTGGTAAGAAGAACGTGTGGTGAAATAGACAAATGAAATTATATAAACAGTTAAATCGGTAATCTACTGTCATAACATATAAAAAGCTCGCGCCTGTAAAATATCAACAAAACATTAGAAAAATAGCTCACACCAAAGCCTTCACCAAGTATTCACCACCAGCGAAGGTTAAATGTCGAACGCCTCACTGGTTGACACATAGCTGAGTAGATCTAGATCTTAACAAGGTTCTTTTATGTAATGAGTACATTATTTACTATTTGTTTTGATTAGACTACTCCTGCTCGCGACCTTATAATCCGGACAACTTTCCAAACTGGCGAACCTGTTTCACTGCACATGTGCTATGAGCGCAGCCCAGCTGTTGAAACCAGTTTTCCCCCCAAGCGCTTGGGGAAAATGAGTGAATCGTTTGAACCCTGATTTCGCGCGGGGTTTTTCCATCGCGTTATTTTTCCACTTTATAAGCGGAATTTGCATTTTTGATGATTTGTTTCAGTAAGTCCATCTCGAAAGGTATCAGAATCTGCAAAGTTGTGTTTTACGTTGCATGTGACCTTTAACTTTGTAATCCCCGCAAACAAGGTAGGAAAGTGTTTATACAGTCATTAATCAGCGCGAGCAGGAAACCATCGATCTAGTCCAGCATATAACTAGTAGTGGTGGTCCGATTAATTGAAATAATCGAAGATTGGTCGCAGTGACTGAACGACCAAGCAATCGATCATGTTTTCTCATAATCGAATGCAACCAATCTTGGAACACTTGCATTAACAATATTTTTCACAAGGCTGGTTTTGTCTGTGTCATTAAATTTACATTTCATAAGCACTACAAGCTTGTTCCAAGTCATGATTGAATTTATCTTAAAGAATCCAGGAAATCTGTGTTCCTAACATACTAATCATCATTTAAATATGTGAAATTTGCAAATGGACAAATTACTACATGTTTTTTTCTTTATTTTTTGTGTGCATTAGTAAAGATAACATTAACAGGAACATTTGATAAATGACGCTAACCAATTATTTTCGATGTTTGATCGGTTGTAATGGACCAATCATCAATTATTAGATTTTAACCAATTCACAACACTAATAACTAGACGACTTTGCACTATACCAAGGTGTGCTCGACGGCTTGGCTGGAATACGAGTTTATTCATATGAACTACCATCGATCATGACACAAAGTGCATCCTTGTTTCACTATCGCTGTGAAGAGCTTTGGCGAAACTTCAACGTAAGCTGGTTCTCGGCTCCCTTTGCTCGCTCCACCTTGCGATATGCGAGACGGGGCCCAGCTTAGCAACGCTTCTGTTGTCGCTGCGAGGAGCTTCCACAAAAAAAACAACTTCTGACACACTCTCGGACCACACTCTCACACCCAGTGTTACACACGGAGTGTGCTTGTGACATTGATCAAGTTTTGATGATAAAAACAAAGCCCCTCTAGGGAAACTGATTTTTCAGGATCAACGGCATCGCGGTGTGTGACATAACACTATGAGTCATGACAACTTTGACACAAACTACTGTCTGTTCACGGTGTAATCTACGTTGATACACGCTAAATAGCATCGTACCGATTATCAGCTTTACACTGGTCTGTTTTGAGTCATTTAGTTTTTGATATTCATTCCTATACCGCATGCGATTCTGATATTACCTCTTTTGGAGTCTTGTTCGTCTCGCAACTTTCACACGAAGTGTTGCAACATGTCAATTCGCACTCAGTGCCTCTTAGACTAGTTTGCCTTTCCGAGAGCACTTGCGCTCCTCGCCGCACTTCAGCCGCAAGCGAAAGACATGGTACCAGTCTTAATGCCTGATGAAACACAATCGGCAAACCTCGCTCCTATCCGTAAAGCCACAAAGAAGACTCGGCTGAGAATAAAGAAAAGGGATTCATCATACAACTGTATATATCAAAACATAAACACGCTCGCTGATACACATTTTCTGTGCGCTAATATATTGTGCATGGGTGAGTGAAGTCCGTGTGTCGTATGTATACATATACATGTAGTTACTGAATTGGACGTTTTTATCATAATTGGGTTTTTTCAAATGAGAGAGAATGTACCAATATATACAACCTTTTATAATATAATTCCAACAAATCGATGAGTCAAATTCGTCTAACAATGGATTCAAATCAGGCCACAGGTGATTTTTCAGCAGAACAGGCCTATCGTGTTTAAAGTTGTAGTTAAACGCAAGGAGAGAGAAGGAGGTAGGGAGAGAATGGTACAACACTAATGGGTACCATATCCCGTTTTAGATGCGCAAGCATAATATTATGTGTTCTTCAAAATAAAATTCAAACTCACCACAAAAATATGCTCTCTTTCATTCTGTCGAGACACTTATTTAGGTCACATGCAACGTAAAACACAACTTTGCAGATTCTGATACCTTTCGGTATGGACTTACCGAAACAAATCATCAAAAATGCGAATTCAACTTATAAAGTTGAAAAATAACGCGATGAAAAAAACCGCGCGAAATGGGAGTTCAAACGATTCACTAATTTTCCCCCGACTTTTCGGGGGAAAACTGGTTTCAACAGCTGGGCTGCGCTCATAGCACGTGCGCAGTGAAATAGGTTCGCGCAACTTGGAAGCGGGCTGTCCGGTGAATACTCGGTGAAGGCTTTGGTGTGAGTTATTTTCCTAATGTTTTGTTGATATCTCACAGGCGCGAGCTTTTTATATGTTATGACAGTAAATAAACTGTTTATATAATTTCATTTGTCTATTTCACCACACGTTCTTCTTACCGAGTCACTTTCTCAGTTCGATACTTAAAAGCAATGTCATTATTTAGCGTTGACAGAATTTGTAACTGTGATATAGATATGTCGTTGTCACAGACAAACCTCAATGTCTTGTTTTATTGACACCTGTGTGTCTGCCTGCCTGTCTGCTAATGATAATATTCAATACACAACTGCGATCACTGACCACATGCAATTTGAACTTAACACCTATCAGGCTATACACCATAAACAAAACGCATTGATTTATGGTCCGAGTTCGGTCTCTGTCACATTATGTAATTACACAGACAGGCAGGTGTGATACTTGAACACATGACATGTTATGATGTCTGTTGATTGCAACATGTTATACACAAAAAATGAGCATGTATTTACAAAACCCAACATCTCTATATATACACACACAATGAGCCGTGAGGGCATCTGCAAATGAACCAGCCGTTACACTTGAGTCTACACCCACCCGCTCTGACTGGGTTCGGTATCCCGGCTGCTTCGTTTCTTGGGAAGTAAACCGCGGGTACACAATATTGCACTTTTGATTTGCGATTGTACGCTTATAAATTTGTTTGTATGTCATAACCAGCAATGTATATTTTAAGTCATGAATAAGTGATAATTGTGTTTTAAATATGTTTGATTTTTTGGTTGCATGTGACCTTTAAAATTAAACTTAACGTAGTCCGGTATTTCTTTTTTTCATTTTCCTTTCCAAAGACCAATGGGTGGTATGTTCAGAGAGCCTACAACAAATTTTGACAGGAGTCAAGTGAGACGACTGTATTGACACTGTTATTATGTATTCGTGAGTACTCGCCCCATGACAGATGGTGCCATTACCACCTGAGCTGGCAACCACTTCTCTGCGTCCGTACTCACTTGTGATATGGACCGCCTCCGTGGTGTAGTGGTTAGAGCGTCCGCCCGGAGAGCGGAAGGTCGCGGGTTCGATCCCCGACCGCGTCATACCAAAAGACGTTAAAATATGGTACTTGTTGGTCACTGTCTGGCGCTCGGCATTAATGGGTACAACAAGGACTGGTCGGCTCAGAGTCAGTATAATGTGTCTGAGTGGGGTATTCATGCTTCACTGCGGCATGGTATCTCAGTGGGCTAGCACTATAAAACCAGCTTCAGTCTGGGCTAGTACAAGCAGCCGCACATACACATACACACGCATGCACGTCGTCATATGAGCGAAATATTCTCAAGCACGACGTAAAGCCCAATTTCACCTCACCTCACCACTTGTGATATGAATAAACACAACCCACCTTCGATTAATATTCAAATTAATCAAGACTTAAATAAAGGCAATACATGCTCCCGATTACGACATATAGTGTAATATTAGAACGTGTAAACTTATGTTACCAATCACATCGCCAGTCAAATTTACGACACAAACATACAGAAGAATATACTGTGATTTTCAGGCCTTTCAAAATCAATCCTATAACAATTCTTCTACCTGACCCTCTATTTGTTCTAGCATCATATATCATATATTTGGAATGTAGGAGACCGCAATTCCCTTACTCTATCATAGACTTAGATAATCGTAGCTCTAAGATCGCTTTGAGCAGTAGAGCCCAGGGTGCGGTTGTACAAAGTGATCTTAGCACTAAGGTGATGGTGACTTCCATTCCTTAACATAGACTTAAGACAGCCTTAAGCACTAAGGTGATGATGACTTCCATTCCTTAACATAGACTCAAGACAGCCTTAGCACTAAGGTGATGGTGACTTCCATTCCTTAACATAGACTTAAGACAGCCTTAGCACTCAGGTTGTTTTGTACAACGGCACCCGGAAAAGTAAGTTTACAAAGATCGGTTTGGAATTGGTCTTCAGCAATCCATGCCTGCCACAAATGACGACTTCCGGGTGGTCAGACTCGTTGCTTATAATCCCAAGTCTTGGATTGTCTGACCCATGGAGTCGGAGTATTGCTAAGCTAGTTGTTAAACAATAAACGTCAAATCCTTTTGGCGCAAATGGAAGAGTTACCGTTCCTGTTTAGTTCACTGAGTTCGTAACCGTCATCAATCGGCCAACCTCGCTCCTTTCCGTAATGGCATCGCAGTTTCTACAAGCGAAGGATATGAGTGTTATATCGTACCCATACACACAAAAAATAGACTAGCTGGTTTAGGCTGTCACTCGCACTCTGTCCCGGTGTCAAACGCCGAAACCCAGCGAATCCCTTGCCTAAACACATACGAATGAGTGTAAACTATCGACAAACTGCCCATAAACGCCCGCGTTTACTTGCGTTACTTGCTCAACCGTGACCTTTTCCGCCTGATATGTCAATAACATAACAATCATCTACATACAATATGTACTTTTGTAGATCCTACCAATCACGTTATCAACTTAGATTATATACAGGCGGGCGTTATTCTCACCTGGGCTGATGCGGAATGAGCCTGGATATATCCTCGTACTCAGCTGACAGTTACAATCGAATGCCAGTTATACAACGGCGACTGGGCCAAACGTGGCTTGTAGTTATTGCTGTAAGTAACAGATACTATTGGGAAAGATAGGGACAGTAGACAAGCTATTGCGCAATACGCAATGACGCGTGTCACGCATTTTAGTCATCTGTAGTTGTCTACCTTGTAAACAAACTTGATATGGATCGGCTTTATCACAGTTATAAAGGTCCACATCTGAATGGAGACACACATAATGAGTACTAACACCATTCGACTCTGTTCATTGTATAACGGTTGTGTTCTTTCCATAAATTGGCTATTTGAAAACAATAATCACAAATAACATTAAAGAGTTTGCATCAAATTTGACTCTTGTTTTGAAATAAGGGATACCAAATCAATATTTGCCTGTGAGCAGCAGGACCATAATCACATTGTCAGCGATTGCAAAATGTCACATGTCTTGGTGGATTTCTTTCGTGTAATCAAAATGTCATTGCGAAACCCCAATATATAAATAGACTCATATGATTTCGATCAAAGTACGTTTCGGGGATCTTAGTAACTACATCAGTACTCCCCGCGAAGATTCGGTTTAGAAGTAATACTGTAGTTCACAAACGCATGCATATGTGAGAATCGACTAACGGGGGCGTGTTTTCTTGCTTGAGTTTATGTTCAGGAATAATAATTCAGTTTAGTGAGCGGCAGAGTATAGCTTTATGTGATAGAGGAGTTATATTATGGCGGCCTGAAAGTATTCTATTCGAAAAAGTGATCAATAATATGAGCACTGATTCACGCTGTAATGATAATCTCTGCGAGGACTATTCTGTGGTCGTCTCACCCCGTTTCATTATGCAGTTACCCGTGAAGATCCGGTTAGAACTGGTCTTCAGCAGTGTATGAAATAAGGCCCGTCCGATCGCCTGAGACGGTCTAGATTTCTGACGGACGGTCTAAATTTACAGCTAGCAAGCCTGATGGTCTGGTATTCACCATATTTGGTCTGATTAAGCCCATTTTGGGCCCTGATGTCTGGTTGGGTTTTTGGCTTATTTCATACACTGTCTTCAACAACCAATGCTTGTCGTAAGAGGCGACTAACAGGATCATTGCTGAGTGTGGCGTTAAACAACAAACCAACCAACCAATCATAATGCAGTTGACTCCCCCCTGCATATAATGAGTGAGTGAGTCGGGTTTAACGCCCTTGTGAATGTATTGCCAGTTATGTCAGAGTGAGTGAGTTTACTTTTACGCCGCTTTTAACAATATTCCAGCAATATCAAGGCGGGGGAAACCAGAAATGGTCGTCACAGTGTGCCAGTGGGAGACATGGGTGTTGGTTTGTTGTTTACCGCCACGCTCAGCAATAACATTTCAGCTATAAGACGTCAGTCTGTAAACAAGCGAGTGTGTACTACACAAACCAGTGATTTATATCATAGGCAGAAATGTAATGCACCATCGTCTGACCACCCTGTAATACTGCTCGCCAGGCATGAGTTGCTGAAGATTAATTCTAACTCGGATCTTCACTTGTCAAGTGGCAGAAGTGATGCTGGTGGTAGGTGTTTATAAAACCCATGAACACCGGTATGATGCTGGTAAAATAGGATCGACATGCCGGAAGATCTTGTTTGTCGATGCAGACTATGGTGATCAATGGTCGTCTAAGACACAAAAGTCTGCATTGTGAAGTGCAGCGTCTTGGGTAGACTTGCACAAGTCTCTAAGGTCAAAATAAATATACTGAAAGGCAAAAGAAACGTCGTAATATTAGAAATGACATTTGAGTATCAATGGAGTATTTGAACCTATTTTTTTAAATATACACCAGAAGTCAAGTTTGAGGAAACATGCATCGTGGTCGTATAGCCTGCATTGCCCAATAAAGTATTGTTTGAGATTGAAGTTAGAAATGTTTTTGTTTTTTGGAGAGGGAAAAGTTCCCACAAACACAACATTGAAATCGAGATGCACGTGCATCATAAATGCATTCAGGCATAAATTGCCGGCTTGAATGGCAATCGTTCACTTGTTTTCTGAACACAGCAGCTATGACTAAGTTAACGAGAGATCAACCACAACAAGCTATTGGACGTCTGCACGCTGGTCAACATGCTCGAGTCATTGCTAATGACTTCAGTTGCAGCGTACGAACGATAAAACATCTTAGAGTGCGATATAACGCCACCAGCAGCACTGATGACCGTCCACGTAGTGGTCAACCCCGTGTAACAACACGTCGCCAGGACCGTCATATCGTCCATCAACACGTGCTAGACCTATTCGCAAGGGCCAGAGAAACAGCTTGGGTGACCATAGGAAACCACCAGCGACCAGTCAGTGACCTACCATTCGGCGACGTCTCCAAGCCAGGAACCTGTTTTGTCGATGTCCTGCCAAGAGATCCATATTCACCCAACGTCACCGCCGGGAACGTATCCAAGTGGACACAACAGCGGCAAAACTGTCGTGGGGGACAATGGAGAGGGGTTATCTTCTCTGATGAATGTCGGTACTGCATTTCAGTGGCGTATTATTTTAAAAAAATAGGTTCAAATGATACTTAAATGTCATTTCCAATATTACGACATTTCTTTTGCCTTTCAGTATAGTTTAAATGATAATTTCTAAAGCGATAATAAATAACAGACTGGGGTCCTTAGAGGTCCGCATATCTAGACAGGCCTCTTTAAAGGATAGAATTACTATACATACATGGACTTAGCATTCAGTACAGCCTTGGAGCAAGGCCACGTCTTGGGCTACTTGAGGACTATGCATTTTCTCGCCATACGGCTGTTATCACTGTGTACATCTATGCACTAATCGCATTTACGCTGCGTGACTATCTCAATGAAATTAATGATTTTGTGTCCAGAATGGACCACTTCACTATTGACGCTTCCATGGAAATACATGTACCTCCTTGCGCTGTGCATGTCCGTCGTATTGATCGGCGTGGTCTGATGGGGGTAGTAGTCACGTGACTTGGAATTAACTCGAAGTTGATTACCGGTTCTATATCGACAACTGCTGACGCAGCTCTGTGACGAGTTCATTCTAGGAATCTGGCTTCGTGTGCGTTTGGGCGATGTGCATGCATTTTCTTTTCCGGAAAATTACTTCTTATAGAACGTCCGTCGAGATACATGTTCATTCAAGAAGACATGTGCTGAGAAAACAGAGAATGATATTCCAAAACAACGACAATTTAATATAATCCCAGGTTTTACTTTCCGCTGTTTATGGAATTGTTTGTTTTGGTGTCGTTTATCATGGGTATCGGTTTGCTGTGGTGTATTTGGCTTAGTTATCATTTGCTGTTTTTTTGGGTTTTTTTGGGTTTTTTTATTATTTGGGGTTTGTTTTTTTTTTTTGGGGGGGGGCAGCCTTGTGGTTAAAGCGTTCGCTCGTCACGCCGAAGGCCCGGGTTCGATTCCCCACATGGGTACAATGTTTGAAGCCTGTTTCTGGTGTTCCCCGCCGTGATATTGCTGGAATATTGGTAAATGCAGCGTAAGACCACACTCACTGTATTTTTGTATTTTCTAAAAAAAAATCATGTTTTTTTAAAATGTGGTTGTGTAGGCGTTAATACAGGCCTTTTGTCAAAAGTACGGCGGATGTTGCTCATGCTACCGACCACTAAAATGCCCATACGAATTTTCAGACCAAATGAATCTTCCTGACACTTTTGACTGCGTCGCACAAAGACAACGACATGTGTGCCTTCTAAGTTCTCGGTCTGATAAACAAAATTCTATTATTTCCTGAACTTGCAGAACATGGAACAAAAGAAAGTCCTCTTATTATATGAGCAGAACTGCGCACAGTCACCCATGCATATAACTGGATAACAAGATGTAATTTCCCGCCGAGCATTCAGTCTGTTGGAATCGTACCGCTGTTAAGCGAGCTCCAAGAACGAGCTCCAAGAACCAGCCTTGGACCATGAGTGTTTACCAATGCATATAATTATTTACAATGTTCCACAGCGCTGTGAATTTGGAGCTAGCGACACCGTTGGATGTGGGCGGCGCCAGTGTCTGCCGAACGACTCCTACATTACGTCAGTCGCCAGCAGTCAAGCGTGCCTCATACTCTCAGACGCCGATGTTGTGGTGGGGAGAAGCAGCGAGGAGAAACATATCTTATCGAAACGTTAGCGAGGAATTCGATGCAGCCATGAACCGAACCGGCAGCCTACGTAAAGAACCCGGCGTTTTCACCAGTGCACATTCAAGAAACTAGCTGCAACCATCGCTGCCGCTGTGGAATCTGGGGGAATACAACCCTCAAGTTGTTGTAAGTGAATATTTCCCTCTTGCATGCTGACCGGTGCCTCTCAGTGATTGTCTGCCAACGCTCTGTACGGTGGTAGTTGCGTTTTGTCTATGTATTGGGAATTGACTTTTTGTTTACCCATGCTATGTATGTTGAAAGTGCCGTGAAATAACGGCGCAGAATGCTGGTGATGTCTTTGGGTCGCCATTTTGGAGAAGTATCGACTGCATTTTGACTGGCGCTGTGGTACTGAGGGATCGATACCTAAGCTGGAGTAAACACAGTTCATCAATGACGATCTCTCGCGGAGAGGATCGTAGAGGTGTACATACAGATATTTGCGAGAGATGTAGCTCTCTTCATCTGGCACATGGTGCATATATATTTATGTTAGGCAGGCTTCTACGTCGCTTTTCGATAATGTCCAGCCATACCACACCGCAATGAGAACTGGGGCTGCAGAAATAGGTATCACTCATTGTACAGATGTGGGGGATCGACCCCGTGTCTTCGTGAAGACGCTTTAACTGCTAGACTAACCACAGTGCGTCAACCGTAACAGGAGTCGCCTAGTGATTAAAGCATCGGTTCGGCACGCTGTGCGGACCGAATGGGTGAAATTTGTGAAGCCAATTATCAGTGTTATAATGTGGCTGTAATATTAATTAAATTAAAGTACAAAAACACTTAAATAATTATATGTATAGCTTGACATAGTAGTTATATGCAGTATTAGTACAGATTATAGACAGCTCACAAAACAAGTAATGACTGATGTTGAATTTTCCAGATTCACAATACAGAGAGACACTATACAGTACCGCCATGGTGCTCACCATGAAAGAAGAATTAGTGATGATGATCTTGCTTCTGAGCATCACCATCGCCTGTGTGTCCTACATCGTCCTCATGAACCTACTCGTCATCATCGCAATATTTCAGGACTCGGAGGCTAGACGGAAGCTGTTCTTCAAGATTATCCTTTCCATTGCAGTGGTGCACTTCATCCAAGGTGTCACGGTCATCCCACTCCGTGTTGCTGCCGAGTCTAATATTGAACTGTTTAAAGACCTTCCAGATGTCTGTAAATACTGGCACGTAACAGAATTGTCCTTAGCGGTTATTCTAATCCTACTCATCTTTATGTTGATGTTTGAGAGATTTCTAAGCCTCACCTCCCCTATTGTAGTTTCCAATACCTGTTTCGGTTGCCTGATGCTGGTGTCACCCTGGATCTTAGGAACAGCGTTTACCTTACTGTTGTTCTACACAAGTAATAGTGATCTGCAAAACTTATTGGATTTCTTGCAAGGGAACAAGAAGGACAGTTGCACACTGGGACAGTCGGAACAATGGATTTTTTCAGTGTTTGGATTCCTGCTACCATCAGCATTCGTGTTCGGGTTTTGTTGGGCCAACGTCGTCATTATGTGTATGCTGAAAAGACGGTACAGTGAGAGATTTGTAGAAAACCCGATGAGCCACACCACTGCAAGTACCCTCGTTGCCCTCTTTTTCATTGTGATGTGGTTACCAGCTCATTGCACTCCCATCATGTCTTTTTTCAACAAAGGATACTGCCCAGACCTACTGAAGTACAGTGGGTTTGCAAACGCTGCAGTTACGCCCTCCCTGTGGTTGATTGTGCCGGCTATTAAGAAAGGATTCCACTGTATATGCTGCTGTGGTTGCCGTTCATGTCGTGGGGATTCCCAAAGACAGGCTGGCGTCGTCCACACGTCTGCTGTTGATGAGACTCGGATCAGAATGCTTGGGCAAGAGCAGATTCAGCCATCATTCACAACCAAATTGTAAAATGATGAAGACAAAGCCTTCAGCTATATTGTCTACGGGAGTCGTTAAAGGGCTAAATTGAGTTTGGAGCCACGAGTCAATGTCTGGATTACAACTAATAGACGCGGGGCATCAACAAGAGCGCATTTTATAATGCTGGACGCGTTACGTAATACAATAATTATACTGAAAAGACTTCATGTATATGAGGATTATCATCAGTATCATTTGTTTCTTTCACCAACCCTTAACTTCGTTAACCTGAGCAGACAAATAACACAAACACCTTGCACAAGTCAAGTCAGTTGTGTAAAAGGTAAACAAGAAACCTTTGTGGGAATAAAGCGTGAAGGTTAGTTACATGAACGTGAATACCGAACGTGCACTTGTTCGACCATGCGCTATAACTCAACTGTGAATACCAAACGTGAACTTTTTCGACCATGCGCTATAACTCAACTGTGAATACCGAACTTGTTCGGCCATCAACTATAACTCAACTGTGAATTCCGAACGTGAACTTGTTCGACCATGCGCTATAACTCAACTGTGAATACCAAACGTGAACTTGTTCGACCATGCGCTATAACTCAGCTGTGAATACCAAACGTGAACTTGTTCGACCATGCGCTATAACTCAACTGTGAATACCGAACGTGAACTTGTTCGACCATGCGCTATAACTCAACTGTGAATACCGAACGTGAACTTGTTCGACCATGCGCTATAACTCAACTGTGAATACCGAACGTGAACTTGTTCGACCATGCGCTATAACTACTGTGAATACCGAACGTGAACTTGTTCGACCATGCGCTATAACTCAACTGTGAATACCGAACGTGAACTTGTTCGACCATGCGCTATAACTCAACTGTGAATACCGAACGTGAACTTGTTCGACCATGCGCTATAACTCAACTGTGAATACCGAACGTGAACTTGTTCGACCATGCGCTATAACTCAACTGTGAATTGTGAACTTGTTCATCCATCAGCTATAACTCAACTGTGAATACCGAACTTGTTCATCCATCAGCTATAACTCAACTGTGAATACCGAACTTGTTCATCCATCAGCTATAACTCAACTGTGAATACCGAACGTGAACCTGTTCGAAGATCAGCTATAGTTCAACTGTGAATTATTCGCTCACAAGCTTTAACTGTCAGACCGAACGAGAACTTGAAATAGCAAATTGTGAATAATGAACGCGAACTTGCACGCCTTGTACCGTGAATACTGGATGTGACATTTGACGGTGTGACCATCAGCTAGAATGGATCTGAAGGAATACAACATGATCTTGTTAGGTCACTTGCCATATATAGACTGTGAATAGGTTAAACATTTGTTATGACCTGGTTGTACTGTGAATACCAAATATGAATGTGCCAGAGCATCTGTTATAATTGTAATGAAGTGAACATGAACTTTACTGAACATTTCAAGTACTCAACCATATCTTCACCGTGAATAGTGAACATGAATTCGTGTACTCATGAATGTGAACATGAACCACCAATCAGTATGGTTTAATATGGAGCCCACACTCAGTTTCAGCACTGCAGCATGTACATCGTTCCATGTACAACTTGAACTTGTTAACATGCACTGACATTAAGGAGCTGTTAGGAACATGTCAGTCTTGTCTTGTTTCCTTGTACAGTCACACTCGATCCTTGCCATACATTAAGATAGAATACTGAGACAATACTTGCACACTGTTGATGTTTTTATCTTAAGTGAGCACACACGTGTATATACACAAGTATCTACGTGTAGCAGTTCCAAAAGGATAGCTGTCATTTTTTCGATCTCTTTGATTGTTTTCAGCCTTAACCACCGAGCAGCGTTCCATGAAGCAACCAAAGCACTAAACCTGTCTTAATGCCCTTCCTTAAACATAGACTTACAGAGACAGATGACGCTGAACCGTGCAAGAAGCGCTATCGGAATGGCTTTCCCTACTCGCCAGCGTAGATCTGGAAACAACACAGATAAGTCCATTCGCCCAACAGGCGGCCATGAGGACCATGGTTCATTCTTCCAACAGCCATCCTTTTGACACGAGAGCCATTTTCAGTTCGACCAACAGCCATCCTTTTCACTCGAGGACTATAGTTATTCGCTTAACAGCCATCCTTATAGAGGAACCACATGCAGAGCTGGGGCTGGATGGAGGTTTCGGGGGATGTCTGCACGCACAGCCTAACACTGTCAACACTACATGCTTAATGTGAAACTCATTCTTGGATTTCCTAGATTTCAAGCATCGTTTAAATCTATTTCCGTGTTGTACATTGAGTGGGCGATATACTGATGTGCCATATCACTTCAGCCAGGGCGATGACCAATATGTAATGGTGGCTTTCACTGTGGTCACTGAGAGCATGCCTGATCGTTGGACAGACCGACAATCACAAGGTGATAAGTGGATAATCCCTCGCTAGCTCAATTCATTGTCCAGGGAATAGAATTTTTTTTCCTGATTTTATGAAATGTAAAAATGGAATAAACACACGGTATTTTCCATACAGATGACAGTGCTTTATTGTTGTACCATTCCGGAATACGCATCAACGGTTATTTACCTCGTCTTCTGGCTCCATCCACCCGGACTATCTCCCTATCTTTACTTGACCACCTCTGTCCCTCACTTTCTCCCTGCCCACTCTTCCGTCTCTACCCCACCCCTCTATCCCGACCTCTCTTCCTTATATCTGTTTTGCTTCTCCTACCAGTCGTGGTTGCCTCGGGCAGCGGATCGATACTGTGATCTCTGTTGTGCGTGGGCCGCAGCCCAGACACATGTCACACGAGAACATACGTTACCTTCGAAGTGTGAACCAGAGAATCAAGGGGAGTAATGCAATTAGGGGGAAATTATGGTTAAAGCGAAGGACATTTGCGATGAGACCTTATCTGATGAATGAATTTACTCGTAGCCATGTCAGATGAACTCTGTAACACGATTTCAGGTGACACTGTATTTTCAGCTTGAGTGGACCCGGAGACAGTTCCATTTGTCAAGGCAGGGGTGTCTGTTTCAAGGTCATGTCCGACCTAGCAATTATAACAGTAGTATGTAATTCAATATCTTTTCGACTTTCATTATAGGTGCTTCGTTCTTTGGGGAGGTTTTTTTTAAGGTTTGTTCTTATCTCGTCACAAGTGAGTTGCCTATCTACATTTAGAATTTCGGTAATAACTTTCAGATACAGCGTCACTGAATCCGTTGTGGGTTGTAGTTATATTTGGCATGCGTCTATTGAAGCCAGATTGTAGGTTCAAACATTATTTTTCAAGACATATTTATTTCTAGAGGACTATTTCTTTGTTCATTTATTCGTTATAAATTTTAAGACAATGCAACATGGTTCTGCAAAACTGCTTTGAAGTTAGTCGCGAACTTTGGACAACTCGATAATGTCTCAGATGAGTTCGTGTTTATGAGGTTTCTATTTGCCATTAATTAATCGCTATTAAAAACAGAGTTCGGTCGTTTGCACAATAAGTATTGAGTTAATGGCTGGAATATTTTGGTATTTCTTATTATATTCTTATATTACATGAGGTCCATACCAAACCTCACAAAACGTGTTTGCTTTATATCTAGAGCTATATACTGTGTAGTTTGTACAATGAAAGGGGTGGAGCAGTATTCATGATTCAGCAATTTATTATTGAAATATATGTACTCGCGAAATGCCCAACAAAGCAGTCCAAGAACTTAACAGATTTAACAAATATGATATTTGTTGAAATGCTAGGACGGAATTTAGCGGCAGGGGAAACCCGATTGGATCCACTTGAAGCGTTCGTTATATCTCCAACAGTGTCATCATCCGCTGTACATGGAGGGCAATGGCTCAGCCACTACAGGTTTGACACACCTATGGTATTTTCCATGTTAGCACATAATCGTATCAATTGTAGTAAGATCTACATTCTCAGTGTGGCGTATATGCATGTCTTTACCTTACTGTTTTACACATGTTGTACTGTTGGCCTAAAGACCATATATACGTAATGAAGGGTAATTTTCCATGTTAGGCTGCACAAACATTAGAAAAAATAGAATAGTACATAATAACAATCTCACGGCTAGTGATTGAAAGTCCAACAAATAGGGGTAGCTGGGTACTTTGACACAAACTCAACCAAATCATCGTATGTAATCCGAGATAAAGCTAGTAATTTGGAAGAAAATGTTGAGAAAATGATTCCTTTGTAGTGATAAAGTACTATATAGTTCATAATGTCAACATAATGAATTATACAATTCAGTAGTACTGTATCACCACCTACACTTTACAGTACGACTTTACGATCGTTTAGCACCTATACCGCCATTAAATGATAATGTTTCTAGTTTGTCGGCGCCATACCCGTGCTCCAGAGTTTCACAAAAGTAGTAAAGTTTTGAGACAGGCATTACTTCGTGCTCTCCATCAACAACACTGTCACCATAATGTAATCTTTTAATGCATACGACAACAACGATATCGCCAGTATCAGCAAACAGAACGATAACAATATTTTATCGTGTACGATACAATACAATAGATTGTTCGATAACCACTGCACATCAGCAATATCGTTTAACGATAATATAGCCCCATAATATAGCCCCTATTCATACCTACATCATTCAAGGGGCGGTGGGGTAGCCCTATGGTTAAAGCGTTGGATCGTCACGCAGAAGACTCGGGTTCGATTCCCCAGATGGGCACAATGTGTGAAGCCCATCTCTGGTGTACCCCGCCGTGATATTGCTGGAATATTGATAAAAGCGGCGTAAAACCATACTCACTCACTCACTCACTACATCATTTAACGAAACAATAAGAGCTGGGTCAGCGTTAGCGCTGGAATTTCCAATGGAAGTGGAAACGTCCGGAGTGCTGGGATTAGTGTCTTTTGGAAGATCATAATCTAGAAACTCGATCACGTTTTCTGGTCTTGCAATAAAGTCAACCATATCTGGCAAAAACTTGAAATCTGGCTAAATCATAAAGCTCTTGTCAATATCAAAATATCATGAAAACAGGTATTGCTCGGTTTCCCATACAAAAAACAATGACCCTCTCAATATTATTATTATTATTATTATCTTTAAAAACCTAATTTTTGGAAGCAGATTAAAAAACATTGTGCCACCTTTCCATGTTTTCCAGACAAAATTAGACATTATTATATGATAACAAAGTGCTCTTCTTTAATGGAGTGTAATATCAGCGCCTTTTATAAGTTTTGGTCTTCATGTCATGATCTGTTCACATAATTTGTACATCATATTCTTGTTGTATTGCAACCTGAATGTCCTTTGTTGAGATTTCAGAATAGACTGTATAAAACATCTCTGAAAACAATAAAATTATGAAAGAAAAATAATAATAATCTAGAAACAAGTATCAATAACTTATTCTTTGACTGAATAATAATCTTTAAACTTAGAATATTGTACCAAATTAAATACACGAATGCTTGAGATTTGCAGAGCAGTTCATTTGTGAATAAACATCATTGAAGGATATTATTTTATGTCTCTTCAATCACTTTACTATTATCTTATCACATATGACCATGTGCTATGTGATTGTATACACCATCATCTTTGAATAATTCTTCCAAGACATAGTCGTCTTTCAAAGATTATATCAAAATCCCTGGGAAAGAAATTGAGGTGGTAATGTTCCTCCATTATGCAAATTCATGCAGCGAAAGTAGT